AGAAAACTTCATCTTCGAAATCGAACAATACTTCGATGCCGTTGGATAGTTGGAGGAATCCAAGAAGGTAGCAACTGCTGCCATGTATCTTCAAGGCGTTGCAAAACTCTGGTGGCGAGTCAAATACGAAGCCATCAGGGCCGGTGAAGATACTCTCCAGACATGGGCAGAACTGAAGGCCGCCATACGCCTGCAGTTCTTCCCCGAAAACGTGGAATACAATGCACGGAGAAAGTTGTGTGAACTCCGCCACACCAGGTCAGTGCGGGACTACGTGCGTGAATTCTCCGCACTCATGCTAAACATACAGGATATGGGGGACAAAGACAAACTGTTCGCATTCATAGAAAGTTTAAAACCTCATGCTCGTATGGAACTGCAAAGACAACGGGTAGATACCTTGCCCAAGGCCATTCAAGCTGCAGAGTGCCTTGGGGATTATCAATTGGAAACTCAGAAGGATAGGTCCCAGCCGCCTATCCGAGGGGGATACAACGGGAGCCCACCTAGCAACGGTGGCCCCAACAGAAACGGACGAGATCGAGGTGCATCCAAATCTAAGACTCATTCCTCAAGCAGCAACAGTGCTGCATCAGTTAACAACAATCATGGGAGAAAGCCCCCATCAGAATGTCGTCATTGCGACGGGGAACATTGGAACAATCAATGTCCCAATACACAGATTAATGCTCAACAGATTGTTGAAAACGAGTCAGATACCGACGACTCAGATGGCCCCGATCAAGTAGGTGCCTTAAACGCATTTGTTGGCTCCATTCATGATACCTTGGCGGGAACCAATGCCGGTAACCCCAAGAAGAACGTATTCCCAATCGACAAGAAAGGGAAAGGAAAGGCGGACGAGAGGCCTCCCACATCACAAAAGAGGACCTTAATATTCGTTGACATGAAAGTAAACGGCACACCTATTCGGGCATTGATAGACACGGGTGCTAGCCACAACTACCTGGCCTCAACTCAGGTGCAACGCCTCGGTCTAGCAGTGCAAAAATGCAAGGGTCGTGTCAAGGCTATCAACTCTCCATCTCAGCCAGTGAGTGGAATAGCCCAAGAAGTGCCAGTGAAGCTTGGCCCATGCAAGGGAATATTCGACCTACGCATAGCTATCATCGATGACTTCGAATTATTAGTGGGGTTAGAATTCCTCAGGCAAACAAACACCATCCCGGTACCATATGCCAACATGCTCATAATGATGGGAGACAACGGGGCCAAACCCCGCACCATACCGTGCATACCCATGAAGATGGCCACTGGAAACATCACGGCCATGTAGTTAAAGGAGGGAACCAACTGACTTGAACCTATGGTTCCAGCTGCCCTCAACATCATCAAATAGACATCAGATCATCGGCATCCAACAGCTCAAGACGCCCCTCATCGTGTGAAGACTTGTCAAGCATTCCAAAAGGACAAGTCAGATCACTCAGCACAAGCGGGACTCTTGGAGCCGCTACCTGTCCCACGGAGACCTTGGGAAAGCATTTCCCTGAATTTCATCACAGGTTACCCAGGGTCGGAAATCATGCAACCATCATGGTGGTAATAGACCAATTTTCCAAGTATGCTACCTTCATCGCAGCCCTACAGAACATATCGGCAGAAGATATAGCTCGACTCTTTTTCTCTCAGGTTGTCAAACATTGGGGTATGCCCAGCAACATCATTAGTGACTCCGACCTACGCTTCACTAGCAAATTTTGGACCCAACTCTTCAGTTGCCTCGGATCCAAATTGACTTACAACTCAAACCATTATCATCATCAAACATATGATCAAACAGACCGGTTCAATGACATGCTGGAGGAATATCTCCGCCAATTTGCAACTGGGTCACAAACACATTGGGTGAAGCTTCTGGATGCTGCTCAGCTGTGTTTCAATTCACAAAAGTGCGCCCATACAAACAAAAGCGCTTTTAAAATTATTACCGGATAGCAACCGCTACTCCCACAAAATATGAATGCACCAAACATGCCATCATCTCATCGAGCTGCCAGTTTCTCGATAGAATGGGGGTAAACTTTGAAGATAGTGTGGAGCTATCTTGTCAAAGCCCAAGAGAGGGCAACGAGGTATGCCGAACAAAACCTTCACTTTGCCCAACATCAAACATGGGACAAAGTGATGGTAAGAACCCCGGAGCGGAACTTGTTTGCAAAGAGGACCCATGATCCTCGCCTATTGCAAAAATACATCGGGCCCTTTTCCATTGAAAGGTGCATCGGGAAATCCACATACCAGCTGAACACACCAGCCTGGTGGAAAATCCATCCAGTCTTCCATGGCAGCCGCCTCAGGCCATTTCAGAAATACATGGAAGATCATTCAGAAAGACATCTCATAACACCGAGGGGAACAGACCTCCCAATCAACAAGAGCCTGACCAATCATCATCATCCTGCAGGTAAGGCTTCGAGGACGTCACCAACTCAGGTGGGAGAGAATGTCATGGGCTGCTTTCCATCATCGACCCATGGCCCCTTGGACGCGCCCCGTGGCGTCCCGGCAAGCCTCCCAACGCCTAGCGCCACGGTCGACCCCGTGGTCTTGGCAGCGCCAAGTGACAAGCGCGCATGCGCCTCTGTCGCCCCACCGATAATCAGTGCCAGCGCTCAGCGGCTGGCGAATGCCATCAGTGTCGCGCACACCGACAATGCCGCGCGCACAAACCATCATGTTGCCAAAAGTGCCGCAAGCACAGACAGTGCCCCGCGCGCAGATCCAAATAGTGTCGCGCGCGCCCACAGCAATGCGCGCGCAGACCCTGCTGCTTAAGACAAAGTTGCTGCCATCGGACATGCTTATATAGAAGACTAAGTCCTTTTCATTGTAATTATAGAGTAGTTTTACTTCATTCATTTTCCGTGTGCTTCTACAGCTTTCTTAGGTCAACTCATGTAACTTTGGTTTATTTTTTTTAAGCGTTATTAAGGGGGACCAAAGCATTCAAACAATTCTCTGTACTGGTGTCTCCTCCCCCCTCCCCCCCCCCTCCCCCGACACCGCATTGCATCTTGTAATTGCTTTCATCATCATCAATACAATCATCAGCTTTCATCATCAATTGCTCATTTCCCGCTGCTCAATTGCTCACGACATTGGTTTTCCCGTACAGCACTGACAATCTAGTGTAGCGTACGGTGAGGACCTCAGTTGGCGCATAGCAACCGCACTGACATCGGTTGCTTAGCCTTACGTCGCCCTTCCAAGGAACTTCAGGAAGGCGCCGCGTAATAGATAGTATGATTGACTCAGGTTCCCAACTCTGCATCTTGCCTCCTTTTTTTATGTCAAAGATGTTCAATAATTGTAAACTTGTAATCACTACTGCAATTACGTTGCTGAAATAGTAATACTCCTTCGTTTTGAACATATTTTGCTTTTGTTTAGTTTAAAAAATAATGACTCATTTTTAAATTTAGAAAAAATTTAATTTAAACTTACAATTCTACCCTTAATAAGAAACTTTTATAACCACACAAATACTCTGGGCCCTTTTTGACTTGTTTAGGACTACAAATTCCAAAAATCTTCATTTTTTTCTTAAACTTCGTGTCCAGTCAACCATATTTACATAAATTGGAGCAATATAAATTTTCTTTCCTCACTTTATTTTCTAGCAGTCTCTCGCTCTTCCTCAGTTTTTATTATTTATAAAAATGACCTTCGTTGATCATTGTGCAAAAAGTAACAATTTAAGTTCGATATCCTAAAGTCTCGCTCTTCTGTACAGCAGCCCGACCGATAGAAAGATCAGCAAATTATTAATTTTAATATGTGTCCCTTTAAATCAGTGATTTGAAGGAAAATATCAAATACTAGCAATAGTATCATTTGAATATTAAAAGGAGGAGAGTAGCTAGTGTGCTTCTCTTTATCTTCCACCATCGCCACTTTTCTTTAAAAGTGGCATTTGGTGGGTAGTATTTGTCTTCTTGGATAATTGAAAGCACTACTCACTTTTAAAAGCTAATTAATTCTTACCTAATTCATCTTTTAAAATACCAACTTAGAAAGACAATCACGACCTTGTTAATCGAGCTTGATAACCTCTTTTTTAGCTTATTAACTTCTTGTTGAGCTCTCAAGTTTTTTGTTGGATTTAACCATTTCACATTTGAAATTTACTGATCCGGCTAAATTTTTACTTATTGGAAAAACCTTTCTTCCGTACTTGCATAAGTTTACTAGCTAATAACATAATAAAAAGACCTATTGTATATGCACGTTATTTTGTTTATTAGATATTTTTCTAATTTGTTGTTAGTTGTTGCATTTGTCATCCTTGTACGAGAAGGAGCATCTTTATGAACTGTATTTTTACCTCTATAATTACGTGCAAAGTTATTGTTGTATCTCCGGTAAACCTTAAAGATCTAATTTCATCGTATGGTCACACAATTTTTATGCAACAAAATCATGAAACTAGTTTTTGTAACAAAGTAATCATTCAACTTTGCTTAAGTATTAAAGAAAGTTAAACTATTTTTTGTAACAAAAAATCAGACAACTTTGCCTGAATCTTACATTATGTCATAAAACAATTCTTTTGTAATTAAAAAGCCACTCAATTTGCAAGGAGATGTCGAAAATATGAAGATAAGCTAAAAACAAAGGGGGCATAGTGAAATTATTGTTAGGGATCATTTTAGTTAATTAAGCAGTAGTATATGAAACTTATTGACACTGATATATTGTCTCTTTTGTCTTTTTGTTTTCTTGAGCTGAGGGTCTATTGAAAACAGTCTCTCTATTCCATCGGGGTAGAGGTAAAGTCTGCGTATACACTACCCTCCTCAGACCCCAGTTGTGAGACTATATTGGATGGTTGTTATTGTTGTAAGTACTAATATATGAATCCACTATGACTAACTCTTTAGACTAGGTGCCCCAACAAAAGAAAAGTGGCGCCTCTCACCTTTCCATGATTTAATTATATAAAACCATAAAGCATAAGGATTGAATTCCTTACAGTAAAATATTGGTAATCATTTAACTCTAAGCTTGCCACTCTACTTTAAAACAAAATCGTCCACATAGTTTGAATGTTCTCTGGTGCAATAGAGAGAGAGAGATAGGACAAAGGTATCATTGCTTCTATGATCATTTCGAAGAAAGAGAGAGAGAGACAGAAAAAGAGCAGATTTCAGATTAAAACTTTTCTGAACAACACATAATGGATGGTCTCATGCTACTCAAGACAATTTGTCTCTTCTTCCTTCTCATTTCTACTTCTCTCTTGTCAACTTCATGTGCAGGTAGGTTTATTGAGTTAAACGCGTCCAATTTATATTGGACCTTTGATTATGCTTGAAGTTTCGCTGCAACATTTTTGGTTGTCCCCTCTATATATATATTCAGTCGAATGACTTCTTACTTATTCTTATCGAGAAAAAATTATACCTCTCTTCCAACATTATGCCAACTTAGTTACTATTTTGTTTCCATCGATACCTTCGTGCTATTAAACGGAAATAAGTCTTATCCAAAGAAATAACATATACTCTCTCTGTCCCATTTTGTGTGACATATTTACTATAATTAGAGTCAAAGAAGGTTTTCTATGACCTATGTTTTTTGCAATGGCTTCTGGTGCAACAAGCAAATACCTTTTAAGATTTTTGAAATTTCTATGTCCTATGTAGAACGGAAGGAGTACTTATTCTAGTACTAGAGAAAAAGCTAGCCAAAGAAACAGCACTGCATGCAGTGCTCTAAGTAGTCAACTTTGGTTGTGCAAATCATAGTTTTATGAAATACTAGTCTTGTATTTAGGTCTATATATACCATCTCAAGTAGAAGGAACTAGCTTAATTCTTTGGAAGTGTCAGATTATTTCTTTAGTCGAGTTAAATTATTGTGAAAGTGTGGTCATTTTCATAAGCTGTCTGTCAATCAACCTTTTTTCTTTTTATATAAATCTAACGAAGAAAAAGCAGGCAAAGTGAGTCTATGGCGCTTTTTATACAAGTTTTTCGTTTTGAACAATGATGCAGGTCGACAGTCGAGATTTGTAAGCAACTTTGAGAAAGAAGAGCTGGGTGGAACTCATTATAAGGTCTGCTTTACCTGTTGGTTTACTTATTTTGGATTGTCAATTGATGAGTAAAGCAAGAAAATATGAGGAGTAAAAAGCGAGAAATGAAGTTTAATCTTTTTCAGTCCTTCATGATTTAACATAAATTGATTATTCATTGACAATATAAGGCCACGGAAAAGAGAATCGCAGGTGACCATTCATAATAATTGGAATAAATTGCTCCCTGTCCCATTTTACGTTGCTACTAAGTATTGAAAGAAAAAAAAAGGAAAAAAAAAACTTTTGAAACTATTAATCTAAAATAAACAATATACATTTATATGTCTATAAATCATTTCGTTAAAGAAAAAAATGAGAGGTTCATAGATCAGTTATTTTTAAATATAGAAAGCTGACATTCTTTTTTAGATAAATTAAAAATAAAAAAAAAAAACTGTAGCACATAAATTGGGGCACAAGGAGTAATAACATTGAAAACTAAGGCAAGTTGCCTGTTATAATTGATTGAAATAGTATAATCTTTTTTATACTATTGTAATATAAATAACACCAATCCATGACAGGAAGTGTCAGTAGGAGAGCAATTACACCATGAGGAGATGAGTGAAATCCATGAAAGGCTTCTTAAGGCCAACACAAAGGATTATGGGAGATATGATCCAGCACCTGCCCTTTCTAAGCCTCGTTTCAAGCTCATACCCAACTGATCTATGTGATTTCGAAACAATTATATGTATGAGGAATATATTTGGCTAAGTCTCCAGACCATTTTAGGGTTTGTGAACCGCTAGTACGAGTTAAATTATGAACCCTAGTGCTATGTCTTAATATATGTTTGCAGCTGTAATATACTATCCTTTTATGTTTATATATTTTCTATGAACTGGATGTTTGTACGTCTGTAGTATTCTCTGTATGATTATATGAAAAAATAAAACTTTTGTATGTTCTTGCTCTAATTTGTGCACCAACTAAAATTAGTTTCATGAATACTCAGTATTCCATGTAAGCAATGTTTTCGTATATAGAAAATGAAACGACCCGGCCGGTCGTTTTGAGAGTTATAGCCACGTTCCCATTTACTGTTCCTTTTGTGCTTTATAGCTGTTATGTGACTTACCGGGTTAGTCGGTTCGGGTCTGGAGAGATTTCACAATGAATTGAGACACTTAATCTCAAGGTTGAAAAAAGCTTAAGATGAAATGGTTGACCGAATGTTGACTTATGAGTAAATGACCCCCGAAATGGAGTTTTGATATTTATGTTAGCTCCGTTGGGTAATTTTGAACTTAAAAGAGTGTCTGAATTGTGATTTGGAGGCCCGTAGTTGAATTAGCTTGAAAAGGCAAAAGTTGGTTTTGGAAAGTTTGACCAGGAGTGAACTTTTTGATATCGGGGTCGGATGCCGATTCCGGAAGTTGGAGTAGAACCGTGGTGTCATTTGTGACTTGTGTGCAAAAATTTGGGGTCCATCGCACGTGATTTGAAAGGTTTCGGCATCGTTTGTAGAAGTTGGAATTTTCTTAGTTTCAATAGGCTTGATTTGGAGTGTGATTCTTATTTTTGATATTGTTTGATGTGATTTGAGGGCTCGACTATATTCGTATCGTGTTTTAGGACTTGTTGGTACATTCAAATGGAGCCCTGAGTGGCTCGGGTGTATTTCGGGGTGAGTTTTGAGCGAGTTTGGGCGTTTCGGCATTCTGATGATTCCGGAACTTTTGAAGTACGCGAGAACATTTTGGACTGCTGAGGCAAAGCCTCAGGTGCGGACCTTAGAGGAAAAATGCAGATCTTAGAGGAAAATTGCAGACCGCGGAGAGAATGTACGGACCGTAGAAATCCTCTTGCGGCCGCAGAAAAAAGATATCTTTCGATGGCCTGACTTCGGAAGCTGATATATAAGGAATTTGGCGATGATCCAAAAATGAAAGTTGTATCCCTTTGAATCTAGTTTTCAGAAAGTTAAATCATTCATCATTTAGACATTTGTACAGAAAGTTATGATCAATTTACTGAAGGATGATAGTGCAGCCACCTTTGAAGTGCGACTGCACAATTTGGACTTACGGCCGCACAAAAAAATATGCAGTCAGCACAATGAGAGGTCAGATTATGTACTATATAAACGAGGTGGTTTAGGGCATTATTTCACATTTGGACTTTGGGAGCTCGGTTTGTGGCGATTTTTCGTGGGGTTTTCAAGAAATTCATTGGGGTAAGTGATTCTAACTCGGATTTTGTTATTATACATGAATATATCATTGGTTTCATCATTAATTAGTACTTTGAGATGGAACTTTGAGAAAATTGCAGAAACTTCATAAACTATAATTTGGGGATTTGAAGGTCGAGTTATGATCGGATTTGACTAATTTTGGTGGTTGGACTCGTGGTCGAATGGGTCTTTCGATTTTGTAATTTTTACTCGATTCCGAGACGTGGGCCCGGGTCCCAAGTTGACCCATCATTTTTATAGCCCGCTCCGACCCATGAAGCCCACTCAAATCAAAGGGATCTCAACCTAACTTTTCTAGAAATTTACTTAGTTGCCCCATCATTAGTTTTTGTATCTAAGTTTAAAAATGAAAATTAAGGTATTTAAGTTTTAATGTAAAAATGAATAATTTTGTTTATGAATTGTGGTGAAATTTACTTTTTTTTTTAATTAACAAATTTTAAATACTAATTTGTTATTTAAGAAAATATATTTTGATTCTCAAAATACTAATAGTATTTATTTAACTTTTATACACCTCTGTATAAAAGGTAAAAGGCTTTGCTTGATGAGCATATGGTTCTAAAATATTGGTCGAGTTGGGTTATGATCCATTGTTTAGCCCATCTTGACTCAGCCAATCTTAACCCAAGTAAACATTGGGATGGGTTGGGCAATGACCTATTTATTGACCTAACCCATCTTGACCCGTCCAAATTCAGCCCAACCCGCCCATTTGTCACCCCTAGACGTAACTTAATATTCCGAAGAAAAAACCCTAATATATCTATAGTGATAATCAGTGAAGAACAAATTGGAGAACTTTTAGGGACAAATTAAGTATAAGTTTCAGAATAGGATTCCCCATTTTTTAGAGTAGCTTTTGTATATTTGTAGTAGAATTTATAATTTCAATACAAATTGTAGATTATGGAATACATGTCTTATAAATCCACAAGTAACTATGCAAATTTTTCATATTCTATTTGTGCAAACCTCCCTCTTAATACGCTTCCAATTACCCAATTAACCATTCCCCAAGATTCTTATGTTGTAAGAATTCTGAATTCCCTCTTCCTTGTGGTGATGGTAGTGTTAAAATAGATGATAGGGTTAAAATGACTTTTTCACTACTGATAGATTCCGAAGGGAGGAAAGAAGATGTACTATGACTGTATATACTTTGTATAGCCGTGAATAACAATGGATACATTGTTATGCAGTACATATACATTCTTTATGCATATATAAACACACACACATACTTGCGGAGATGGTTGATTAAATTTCAAGAAGGTTTTGGATTGAATTGGAATACTTAGTTTCATGGTTAGAAGCTTCAGTTATAAGAATTGACCAAGATTTGACTTTTATGTAAATGACCTCGTATTGGTAATTTAATGGTTCCAATAGGTTTGTATGGTGATTTTGAACTTAGGCATATGTTCGGATTTAGATTTGGAGGTTCCTAGGATGATTTGACTCTTTTTGCAGAAAGTTAGCAATTTGAAGGTTTAGATATTTCATAAGTTTGACCATGGATTAACTTTGTGGCTGTCGGGTTCGGATTGTTGTTCTAGTATTTGGAATAGGTCTATTTTATCATTTGAATTTTTTATACAAAGTTTGGCCTCATTCTGAGTTGGTTTGGTAGGAATCGAACACTTGATTGTGAATATTGAAGTTCTTGAGTTTTAAGGCTAGCATAATGTGTGTTGGTGTTCGATTCGTGAATTTGGATGTTATTTTAATGCTCTGAGATTGCAAATGAGTTCGTATGAGGTTTATAAACTTGTGTAGATATTTGGTATGGGGCCCGAGGGGCTTGGCTATCTTCTGGAAGAGTTTGGAAAGAGCTTCACTTTTGCTAGTGCTGCAGACCTCGCATTTGCGAGGGTCCACAATTGCGGACACCTTATCGCATTTGTAATTACTGGCTGCCATGAGAGAAGTCGCAATTGTGAGATAGTTAGGCGCATTTGTGACATTGGCTGGCAGCTGGGAACTTTGCAATTGCGAAGTTGGGGATCTTATTTGCGACATTGCTAGAGGCAGTCTGGGATCGCATTTGCAAGCTCAGGGTCGTATTTGCGAGCCTCTGGTCGCAAATGCGATATCTGCAGTTGGTTATAAGTTGGGCATTTCGAAACTTAGACTCATTTTCTTATATTTTGAGCCATAGACTTTATGAGGGGCGAATTTTGAGGAGGATTTTCATATGAAGCTATTGGGTAAGCAATTTTCACTTGATTTTGATATTATATCTTGATTTCTCATGAAATCTTTACACCAAAATCATGAAATTTGGAAGGAAATTTTTGGTAGGCTTTTTACTATGTTTTGAAAAACAAAAGGTGATAATTTGATAGTCTATTTGGATCGATTTTAGGATCATATCACATATTTTGGACTCGTGGGGTTATGGGTAGTCGGGATCTACCCCTTGATTTAGATTTTGATCGTGCAGGCCTAGGGTTGTGTCACGACCTAATTTAGGATTATGACCGGCACTTAGGAGCAAGTGCCCCTAAGTAAGCCTTACCGATATTTTACAGAAAAACGGACAGAGTTTCTTCTATTTTTGGGACTATCCAATAATTTTCCTGTCTCAAATCAACAACCAAACATCCTAATATCAATCCAAACAACAATAACTTTATCAATTAATCCAAACAAATATCTACTATTAATAATCCACCCACTAACAGCTAGAAATACAAATTTATCTCCAACTTTGATAATAAAGATCGATACTCAACATAAGTGTATAATGACAAGAATACTCATGAAACTAATAGAATGACTATGGAGCGACTCTAAGAATTCAAAGAAAAGATCATAACAATAAATAAAATCTCCGCCCCGCGCAAACAAGTACGAGACTCACCAAGAACTATCAACTTGTGCGCTCTAATTAACGAAATCCTCGCCTGTGTCAACTGCTGTCTCTATTAAAAAATATAGCGGGGAGTGAGTCGCTAGCTCAGTGAGTAATAACACTTAATCAACAACCATTTTTATTGGGGACAAGTCAGAAAACATGCTAGTATATTAAATAAAAAATATCATAAAAATACCCTTTCAAAAACAATAAATAATTTTCAGTCTCATCATGTTTTTATTGTAGTATAATACAATTAACGATTCAGTAATAAGCTCGGTAACCACTGTATAATATCAATATTCACATTTGGGAAGTTTCAATGAACAGATCATGCAATCATTATAACGGTGGACTTCTTCGCAAGAAGTCAAATATAACGGTAGTCCTTACTCGAGGAAAATCAGTAACGGTATGCTAGTTCTACCTTCCCGCTAGCGAGGGCTGTAACGGTAATCGGTAATTACAAGGTGCACCAGGTCTAACGAACCCGCCGTTAGCTACGAGATCCTTTAATGTCTACTTTCATTTATACTTGTCTCTATAATCCGTATATACTCGTAGAAAATATTTTAAAAAAATATAGAGCATTTCAGTTCTTATCAAATCATATAATTTCATTTCGATAACAGTAAATTCAAGTAACGATAAAACAGATCTAGTTACAACGAATATATTTAAAACATCTGTAATAATCTCAAATAACTATTTCTGTATCATATTGAGTGAAAGACTTGTCCCACATGCAACTCAAAATAATCGGTAATATATTCATATTAAAAATCATGTGTAAATCATGCATGTTATGAAAACACAAATTGCGGTAAGATTACTACTCACAGTACTTCGTGCGAAAT